AATATTAATTTCAAGCAAAAAAAAATTTAATTAATATAAAAATATTAAAAATTATTAATTTCAAGTAAAAAACATTTTAAATTTTTTCTAAAATAATTTTAAAAACAAAAAACGAACAAGAACAGATGTACAGGTATTATCATCAAAATCAGGAGAATCGAACGAGTGTGCAGAAAAAGAAAAATAAAAGAGATTTATCTCTTCTTATGTGTTTCATCTTGGATATTTCGGGAAAGCAAGAGGGGTAAGGTATACTCGCTAGGTTTGGAGGAACAAGTGTATTTATTTTATATTTTAAATTAACAAATATATTTTTTAAGGAGGAAACTATGTTGTTTGGTGGGGGTAAAAGTAGTAGTGTTAGGGTGAATATTATAATTTCTTTTCTTGTTGTGAAGTTGTTGGATGTAATATAAAAATCAATTTTTAACATTTACAATAACAATATAAAAATAGTTGTTGTTTGGAAAAATAATAGATAAAAACAACAATATTATCATCTAGTGAATTTAATGGCAAAGAAAATACTAAAATTTTCAATTTTTAATTATATATATTGAATAGTAAATTTCTATAATCCAAGAGAAAAAAATGAAAAAAATGAAAAAAATTCGGGCTTTCCTCGGGATTAGTTCTATATAATGAGGAGTTGTTACAATTGTTACCAGTGACGAAGACAACAATGGTCATAGCGATAAAGGGGTTTTTAGGTAGTTTTTATTGTTAGGTTTTCCGACGGAATTTTTTTCTTTTTCTCTCTTCTTTTTCTCATCCTTTTCTTTCTCCTCTTTAACCTCCCGGCTTAAACAAACTTAATTTTTTTTTGCTTAAAACACTTTTTTTTCCTTTTTCTCTCTTTGGATTCTTCTCTTTTCTTCTTATTCATCTATTTATAAAAGGGGAAGAGCTTCTAAAAGTTCTTTTAGGTGACTTGATCAGGTCCCCTGGGATGAATTCAAATCCTCAATGTCAATTATTTTGTACAAAAAACATGATTATCATGCCTTCTTTTACATCAATTTTATAGGTTCTTTTAATATAGCGAGGGGCAGAATTAGGAGAGGAGATGTCAAGGAAAAGAGTGAGTGTATTTTGGTTGTG